TTTAAAATCGGAAAAAAGTTACCATAACCCTTTTTGTGATGATTTTTTAAGTTTAACACAGTAGTAATACTTTTTGAATTGCATTTTTTTTTATCTATGACACATTCAAGATGCAAAAAGATATCGAGGGTCAAGACGTGTAAAACTAATTATAAATAATGATAGAATAAGTATACGAAACCATCGGATCACAAAGCGTTACAGCCGCAACATATTATTTGATTTTTATAACGCAATACAAATTAATTGATTTAAGGGATCACCTGAAATCAAACATAATTGAAGATATTAGAACAAATATCCGATAAATCTGCTTTTTAAAACTGTTCAAGACGATTAAAAGAAAACTATTTAACTCATTTACCACAATGGGCTGAAAAATACGGTTTGTAATAGCTTTAAAAGTAATTATATTAGCAAATAGTATTTTACTTTTTGTGTACCAAAATGTTTTCACAAACATATTTTTTAACAAAATATAATTTTGATGGATTCAACTGGTCAGTTGCTCCAAGGCCTTTAATTGTACCTAAGTATGACTTTTTTAAAGAGGTTATACTCTAAGTATATCTTGTACAATGTATACTCAATGGTATAACTTGATTTTCATCTGCTGATTATATTATAAAATGTAGGCGATATTTTCAATTTGTTTGATAAAAGTCACCTCCGAAGATAACGTGAGAGATTGTAGGGGCTGTATTTACAAAAGCATTGTGAAATGCTTCATTGTATAGAGAAAAACTTTATCTATGCCATAAGGTACTTATTTTTTTTTTTTTTTTTGATATCAAACACAATCAAAATTATTCGTCCGTAAATATTTATTTTTTTCATTTTCTTACAAAAAAATCTTGAGTATATCAAAAACGCTACGGCACAGATAAAGTTCTTCTCTATACATTGAGAACATTTGGTAATTCTATTGTTATTACTGGCGTCACATACTTGTCCCGCACAAAACCATTTTGATGGGAAAAACGCTTGCCAAGTCATGTAGACTTCCTAGATTTTTAATTATTTGAGAAATATTAAAAATGTATGGTTTATTATTAACCAATTAATTCTAAAAGTATGCAAATTTAGGAGGAAAATGAGTTTTTATGTTATACAACTTTAAAGCTCTATGGTGAATGAACTATATCAGATAAAGTTCTAAAACTCGTCTCAGCACTTCTACATAAGATAACCCTAATAAGACCATAAATAACAACATCCGTTCATCAGTTTTAGAAATCTGCGTGGTTAAAGAAAAAATGATCTGAAATTGTCAATCTTTTTTAATTGTAAAAATATATAGTAATATAATTTTTCAAATATTTGTTTACAGCCTATTTACTCACTGTAGAAACTTACTTTGGTCCTAGTAATAGAGTAATATAATGGTCCTAGTGCAGTTTTCTCCTACTTCGAGTTTTCCTCAACAACAACAAAAATTTGAGTACAGATTTTGTTGTATTACAATTAATAGTTTTTAATTATACTAATTAGTATTCATCTTTAATTTTATTTAAGCATATTGATTATAACAATTAATTTACAATATTATTTTAAAGAACATGTGTGTTATATTACAGTAGTAGTGATTATAGGTTATCTAGCAAATATACACAGTGTTACCCGAGGTGGATCGATCAATCCACCTTAGTGTTACCCCATATACAACAGATTTGTAAGACAATAATTGTATATGTCGTAGCCCAAAACTAATTCTACCTTTAATCTAAATTTCAAACCTTAAGTTCTAAAAGATAAATAAATATAAGTTACCATCCATTCTATTATTTCTAGGGAAAGGCTTTATGATATGTTTATGGTTTATCGGCGTTTATTGATATAGCTATCCTATAATATAATGCCAGTAATACCTGTATATAATTGTAAATTTACACAGCGCAATCTTTCCTCGTGGAAGTTAACTACTAATTTATAAAGTATTTTTTATATTGACTAGAAATAATTATAACACATAATATGAGCACTGATCGGTCTCCTGGCATTATCTAAAGAAAAATCTATAAGAACTTGGAAAGTTGAAACTAAAACTATTTTTAAAAAACTAGAGCACGTCGTAATTTTAACGTAAAAATTATATAAACATTTTGGATTTCTTTCGCGATTTAGAAGTGGTGACGGTTTTAAATTTTTGACGAGTTAAATTTCATAAAATAATTACGTCATGTATCTTATTATACGTATCTTTAATAAATAATATATTTTTTTACTTGTATCAAGATGGACCAATCTCACTTGCAGAGACTTTTGACAAATTATTTAAATGTGCTAAATGTTTTCAAAGTTTTCTTCCTGGGATTGCCATTGTTTCATACATTTATCATTATGAAGGGTATTTTATTAACACGTCTAGCCATTGTCCAAATTTATTTTTTTCGAAAAGGTGACATTTACCCATAGGTCACTCAGAAATAAAACTAAGCCAAAATTAATATTTGACTACCATAATTTTTCAAACAAAATACAGCACCAGCCACTATCACACATAACTATACAACAAAAACCAATCATTATTATATTAATATATATTTGTTTATACGATAACACATACCAAAAATATAAAATAAGTTATAACAAATAGCATATCTAGTTAAAAACAATTTTGATATTTGAATAACTAATTTTGTATTGTCATATAGGACTTATAATTGTAAATAAATATTAAAATCGAGGAAAAATAATGTTTAACAAAACCAACGCGACGCTACGCTTGTTGTAGTTTTGCGCGGGTATAAAAAACACTTAAGCTACAAGTTGTACAATTCTAAATAACGACCCCCATATTTTTTCTGGAATAAGTTTAATTCAAATATTTTACCGCGACGTTTTTTGTTTGTTTCTGAGGCATGTGTAGTTTAAGTGCAATCCTAAATTACGGTTTGTTTTTGGTAAATTATTCAAACGAGAATAAGTTTTTTTTTATTTCATGGTGTATACACGAACAAAATGTCCTACAGCTATTATTTTTCTATAAACATAATTTAACAAAACATTATTTTATTATGCAGACTATGCATATTGTTAAAACACAACAATTTTGTAGGTGAAGCTAAAAGCTATGTAAAAAAAAAAATTATAAATTACTATTTATTATTTATTAGGTGTTTGATTAGTAAAAATTAAATTACGGTTAAGTATTTTCGGTATGTACATTTGCATTATTATATAATTGTCAATTACAAGAAAATACAATAAGTGATCTATAGTGAGTTTTGTTCACACTTCTGAATGTTGAAACAACAAAACAGTCAGTATGTATTTTACTAAATACTACCAACATTTCCTAAACCAAATACGGCACCAGCCACCATCACTATAAAAACAACACATAACCGTAAAACAAATACAAATGGAATACACTGAACACAACTTATACATCGTTGCTTCTAAAGCAAACTCGGTTACTGAAATGGCAAAAATGCAAAACATCAGACTAGTAAATAAAAAAAAAAATGAAATATCTGCCAAAAAGTCGACACAATATGTATTACTTCAGAGATCATTGTATTCTAGAAATTACAAACATAATTAGATGGCAAGCGATATACAATTAATTGCATTTAAACCATCGAAATGGTTGTCACTAATAAGTTTACATTTAGCCTAAAATATATTATTGCTATGCCCTTGACCAATTTTTGAACCAAAAAATTTAATTTAATTTAAATCAAATAGATTTTACATGTCCGCCAAACTATGAATTTACCAAGAAAGCATGAAATAATCCATTTAAATTCTAAGGTCTCAACTATAAACAGCCAATAGGCCACACTCGTAAGAACCTTATCAAATAAAATCACAATAGTGTGTCTTGAACGCACTAGAATTCATTAAACATATCCAGACAATAATATTTTAAATGTGAAAGCCTACAACCAGATCTAAACGGTGTAAACAAAAACTAACTTTTCTACAGGAATCTCCTTAACCTGATTGTATTACGTTTAAATACTTTTATGATGTAACTTAAAAAAGGCGTATTAATACAATGAATGTATGCGCATGCTCTATATAACATGATACAGTTATTTATATTGTATTTTATTCGTGGATTATGTCCTGTTATAAATATTGAGTTCTAAACAACTAAAAAAAATGTTACTTCAATATTTTTCGCTATTAGCCGCTGTTTCATTATGATATTTGTGATTTTTTTATCGCCTCGTACACTATAGTAATTTTTGATAAAACAAAATTATAATATCGGGTTTGAAATAAATTACAATTAAGAGTGGAACAGGGTGTGGTGTACTTTAACGATAAAATTAATGATACAATTAGGTATTTATAAAAACAAAAAGTATGAGCTGTAGATCACACATAAAACAAAAACGTCGTCGTTGTTTTACCATTAAAGTAAAAGTACCTCCTACTACTCGGCGAATAAATAATTATATCGAATAAAACAATAACAAATAGAAATAAAAATATAATCCTCAAATTAAAAAAAAAATGCACACCGAGCAAAAAAAAAAACAAATAAATCATTATTGCGTAACGGTTGGCTGTAACAACCGAAAAGATAAATTTTGGTTTTTAATTCTTTAAAAAGGTTAAGATCAATAATCATAATATACTGTTTCGAGAGAACATAAATATTATTTTCCTTTGACCTTTAATTAATTTTTTTTTTCACTTTCATTTTAACTTTATAAAAGTATTATAAGTATCTTATGTCCATTATACTCGAGAACAATTGGGGGAGGGGGGCTGTTCACTTCAGCTCTGTCTTAATCTGTAAGAGCCCGGCGATAATTTTAATGAAAAAATAAATCGATACTTATACTAATTAATAATTTTTAAAAAAATTATTTTTTATCGGACATTTTGTTAAAGTATCTTTTTATTTTCAATTATTTATTAATAACAAATATTGGTTTTTTTTTTTTTTTAGTGAATAATCTGTAATTACAAGTGTTGTAAAAATTATCGTTACTATTATCATGCTTGTCGGTAAAACTTCTTAGCAATCAAGGTATACTCACTATATCGGAAGACAGGAACGTAGACGTCTCGTCGGGTGGCGACGACGACCACAACGGAATATATGTGCGCCACCATGCGCTGCCGGACGGCTACTGACTGTTGCCCGTCCCGTCGAAAGCTCAAAAAACACAACTTCAGTTAATTCGAACAGACAGGGCGCCGGCGCTAGTCGCTGGAGTGTGTTGTGTAGAGATGAATGTGTATACATTTAGCCATAGATAAGGCACTCATTTTCTCCTAAAATAATCGCAATTTTGTAGCTGTTGTTCTTTAGGAAAACATTTTTTACAATATTGTAAAATGACTAAATATTTGTCTTTTTTAGTATTGTTCCAAAGCTCATTATAAACTTTCCAAGCCCGAAATAGCATCGTACAATTTATTTAACTTTATAAATTAACAATAATTTGCAAAACATTTTGACTAGTTAATAGCCAGTTTTGAACAATCACTTTTAGTTATTAGAGTATAACATTTAGGACGGCAGGTATAGTGCTGCTCAGTAATGCTCGCTTAGTTAAAATAATACTTTACTTCACCCTTCCTCCCGTCTAAACTTTAAACTTTATTAACTGTAAAAGTATTTATCCAAAACTTATTATCGACCAGTTCAAAATTTTCAGAAAATGTTTTTTAATTTAATAGTTAATTAAATAAATTTTACGTTCCAATGTTAATTAAAAAAATTAATAGACCTTTGGAAAAAAAAGGAAAAAGATAAAAATTGAATATTATCTAATAGTGTAAATTGTAAAATAACATAGACAAAAAGTCTTTAATAGTCTCCAAAAAGAAAAACTACAAAATCGCAATTTTTTTAAAAGCAAATGAATGTCATCTCATTAATGAATCATCACTAACAATAACATTTTATTTTTTATTTTTTTTTTTCTTATTCAAAGCCGTTCAGATCCATCGGCGCTTCCACAATCCCTCTCCACACCTCTCTATCCAACGCTAATCTTTTTCCGTCTCTGAGTCCAAGGATCTTCAGATCTTTTCTGACTCGGTCGCTCCACCATTGTCTTGGCCGTCCTCTTGGTCTTGTTCGATCGGGCTTCCACATTGTGACCTTGTGTACTATTCTACCCTCCGCTCTCGACACATGTCCTGCTCAGCTAAGTCTTCGACTTTTAAGAACACCTACTATATCGGTTTCGTTAAACAACTCCCTTAGTTCTGCGTTCATCCTTCGTCCGTATTCGTTGTTTTCAGTATTCCTTTTAGGGCCGAAGATCCTCCTTAATATTTTCCTCTCAAATGTCATTAGTTTCTTCTCGTCTGCCTTCGTTGATGCCTACGCCCCACACCCATATAATGCAAAAGGCCTGACCAGAGCTTTATAAAGCCTACTTTTTGTTCTCCTTGATAGTAGTTTTGACTTGAACAGTGGTACCAGTGAGAAATAGCACTTATTCCCTGCTATTATTCGACGATTGATTTCCTCATGGCTATTTGCCCTTTCATTTTGTTTTCTATTGCCATTAATAAATTTTCAGGTGAAGGTTGTAAGTATTTTCGCGAGATATTATATAAAAAAAATTTCTTGGTTTCTAGAACTAATTCGAACATTTAACCGTTCCAAAAATGAAGGACGAATTATTAAGTTAACAATTTTGCCAAGAAAACATAATTTATGTGGTTTCCTTTCTCATTTAAAGATATCAATAAAATATTGAAACATAACTTGGGAGCCGAAAGTAATTCCTAAGTCGTTCAAAGACTTAACTGTCTCAACAGAAATATTATTAAAAGTATACTTAAATTCAATACTGGTCTTTTCAGATAAAATAATAATATTTTGCATTTTTTTGTACTTAGAAATAGACTATGCGAAAACCAATAATTATCTGACTGTCTCTTTGTGATGCATTAAAATCAAAATTTGAATGTATTTTTTTTTAATTTATTTTTTATTTTTAGTGTTTGATTACTGGATATTGTTTATAAATAATAAAAATAATATTGGTGAAAGATGAATGAAAGATGATGGCATCCTAGGTGAAGACCACCTAAACGAACATGGATAGGCTTATAATTTAGATTCTATTTAACAAAGAGGATGTTAATCATGAAAGTAAAATATCCCATACCTATCTAACGTATTTATTAGAAGAAGATGATCAACACTGTCAAACACTTTTTTGAAATCAGTGTAGGTATAAAATATCCATTTGGGCAACATATGAGAATGAATCGCTAGTTTTATGTTTATGAATACTTTGACCGGTCAATAACTACATAGTTTTGAACAATTACTTTTATGAAGTTAATAAGGTTCAAAATTTAGGACAGAGGAAGGGTGGATTAAAGTACGTGTATTATTTTTTATCTGCCCGCATTACTCAACTGCACTCTACCTCCCGTTCTAAATTCTTAACTATTTATAGTAAATTTATAGTAAATATTCAAAACTGGCAATTAACTAGTCAAAATGTTTTGCGAGTCGTTGTTAAATTATTAAGTTAATTAAGTTATACGATGTCATTTAAGTTTTGAAACGGTTATAAGACTTTGGACAATACTAAAATATAGTTTAAAAAAACTAAAAAATACGCTTAAATAGTAAAATAAACTAAAAAGTAGAAAATAATTTTCAATATAGAAATCAATTAATAAAAAATAAATAGTATTATTGTGAAAAAAGTGTGGGGCGCTTTTCAAGAACTGATATATGTAGCACCCCACGCTTTTTTCACAATAATACTATTTATTTTTTATTAATTGATTTCTATATTGAAAATTATTTTCTACTTTTTAGTTTATTTTACTATTTAAGCGTGTTTTTTAGTTTTTTTAAACTATATTTATTTTCCACTTTTTAGTTCGATGTGCTTTAAAATCGTGTTTTTTTTAATTCTAGTACATACGTGTCTCTATTACTTGAAAACTTCAGGTAAACAACAATGAATACATGCATGTACGTTCGGTTGCCTATCTCTTTTTAGTTACATAGTTACATACAAACATACAAACATACATACAAGTGAAGCTAATATAAGCGTGTTAAAAAGGTAAATATTTAGTCATTTTATAATATTGTAACAAAAAACAAAAATGTTTTCGAAAAGAAAAACTATAAAATTGCGATTATTTTAGGAGGAAATATGTGTCTTATCCAGAGTCTTATTCTTAATAAATCACCTTTAGCAAATTGTTTTAATTTTAGAAAGTTAATTCAATAGTTACCATTTATGTTTCTAAAGTCGATAGCGCTATGGAAAATACTAAATAAAGTAAATTGTTGGTAATTTTATAAAGTTGTATAATAAGAAACATAGAAATGTTTCCAAAAAGAAAAACTACAAATTTATAATTATTTTCCGATAAAATTAGTGCCTTACGTTAAATTAATTACCCGGCATACACGTAAGCAAATACAAATAAAATATCAACAAAAGTTACAATAATAGTAAGAGTCAACAACCTATTGACACTTATTACCTGTTGTCAGACAACAAATAATCATTTCATGCAAAGTACCTACTCAGTTTGTGATTAATAGTTTGTTTTAGCTTTAATGCGGAGCTGAAAACATATTAGTTTTACACTTTCGTTTTATTCAAAAAATATTGATCATTTTACTTAATCTATGCCTATACCTATTATTATTTTTTTAAATATCTACATAGTATTTGTTTGTATGAAGTATGAACACACTTAAGTCACACACAGGGTCCGTTTCGAAGCGGGTATCGAACCCATGCAATTTTTATCACACCATGTTATTACCTATAATGGGTTGTTTTTTTTGTTTTTGCTGCGCACTTGTCCATACCTTTAGACCCACCCCCCTGCTCAAAAAATCGCCGGGTTAGCTTCCGGCCAGTTTGCCGTATATCGTACCGTATTCCACGAGCATCAGGATCAGGATCAGATACAATATTTAGTATATGTTGTAGGCTTATTAGTTATTATAATTAGTATATCAATTTACATTGTAAAATCTAAAGTATTCATTTGACTTTTCAATGGTATTGTGTTATATACATGGTGATTCATTAAAGATAATACACTCATTTTCTCTTAAAATAATAGTAACTTTGTAGTTTTTCTTTATGGAGACACTTTTGTTTATGTTATTTATCAATATTACATAATATTCAATTTTTTTTTTTCAGAGCTCTATCAAATTTAAAAAATTTAAATAAGAACGTTGTATTATTTATATTTTTATTAAATGTATTTCAAACAATTACACTGTTACATGTGCATAATGGCATAATAATATGCTGTCTACGTGACATAATTGTAATACCAAAAATGTCGCACCACTATTTTGGTTTGAGTGACGTCACCTTATCTTCTCTACATCGTGGTTTATCCTCAACCCATCCCCTTTACACTCAAACACCACCTTATCCTCATCCCATCATCATCTCTTTCACGTGTTATCCGAAATTATTTCCTAATCATAAATATATTTTTGCCAAAAATTGCTGGCTATCGTAATTAATTTATGCGCAGAGTCATATAAAAATTAACTTTAGGTTTCTTAAGTTCTTAGTAAAATTGAAAACTCATTTAAAAGACAACCTTGCTTTTTTAATATTCTTCTTATCGTGTCCAGATTGTTTAGTGCTTAAAGAATTAGTTGGAAGTTTATAGCAAAACTTCACCGTTCCAGAAGCACCGTTCCGATTGTCACTTATAAAAATGATAATCTTCGTTGAGGCTTCTTCATTGACACTGATATCGCATTTTGAATATTAATATGTTATGTGTTTATGAATTAAGTATAAGATGTATTTTAATCGAGGGAGAAGATACTAAAAATTGGGGGATCCCTTATCCACAAAATATGCCGCCGAACTATTTTATAAGAGCTGTTAAATTGAAATTATGATTAAGATGTAATCATCAGAGGTGCCGAGCTCAAAAATAAACATATAAAACATGCACCATCTTCTATTTCGATTTATATATCTATTGAATAAATTACATTATAACAAAACAAATCATATCTTCATATAAAACTCTATTTCATGTAAGTCATTATAGGACTACAGGTTCGGCGCCTTTAGTTGTAACTTGTATGTTGTATACAGAAATACTAGAATAGGATGTATGCGGGCATACTTCTG